AAAAAAAAAAAAAAAAAAACTAAGTTGTGCACGAGGGTTGTTGTACACCCTACAGCAACTTGCTGTCAAGAAAATACACCAGCACAAAAGGAAAAAAAAGGGTGTACAGTAGCCTGCTACACAAGAAAAAGAAGGGTACAGCAGCTTCCTGTCAAGAAAAATATCTGCACCAGAAAAAGAAAAAAAAAAGAAGAAGAAAGGGTATAGTAGCCTACTGTCAAGAAAAGACAGCAGCATGCTGAACAAGAAAGGACAGCAGCATGTTGCAGAAAAGGGGGAGCAGCCGTCTGTGCATGAAAAGACATTGAGAAGCTAAACTGAGGATCCCACAAAGTATAGTTTTTTTTTTGTTATATAGCAGCTACTTCCACCAAAGAGATCACACAACCTTTCCAATTCACCTTCAAATTCACAATGCAAATAAACCAAAGATACAATTTCAGCTGGCAAACGGAAATCATGGCATCGAGAAGTACAGCAAAATGAATTACAAGAGATAAATCAAGACTCCTTCCTGGCACTGGTTCAAAAAGAAAAAAAAAAAAAAAGGAAAGAACACAATGGAGAACCTCCCGATACAAAAAGAAAAATTTGCAACTGAGAAGGCATACAACAGGTACGAGCTTCTCAAGTCAAGTGTAGTGTTGATGGAAAGAAGGTTTCGCGCATTCTACCCTACATTTCCTGAATCCTTTCTTAATGCTATCCACGACCTCGGGTGGGAGATGTTTTGTCACCACAAAGAGAGTTATAGTGCCTATAGTGAAGGAGTTCTACGCATATATTGATCAAGTAGAAGGGTACACAACAACAATAAAAGGAAAAATAGTTGATTGGAGTCCTGAAGCCATCAACCAACTATTTCATTTACAATCTTTTGAGCACGCCACCTTTAGCGAAATGGTGCTAGCTCCATTGGATGATCAGCTCGAGATAGCCCTGAAGATGATAGCCATTGAAGGAACACGGTGGCAGTTCTCTAGAGGAGCAAGGACTATAATAGTAGCAGACCTCAACCCAGAAGTGAAAGTTTGGGTTGTCTTCGTAAAAACCAACCTACTACCCACCACACACAATACTACATTGTCAGCGGATAGAGTTTTGCTGGTGTATGCAATCATAACTAATTTGAGTATCAATGTGGGCAAGATTGTAGTGGATGAGATTGTTAGATGTGCAAGTAAGAGATTGGGAAAGTTGTTTTTTCCACCACTGATAACCATGTTGTGCTCAGTTGTAATAGAAGACACAACAGTGCAGCATAAGATATGAATCAACTGCTGGAACAGCAAAAGGCATTACTTAGCTAGTGTGAAAATAGTTAAGGTAGCTGCAAGGCGTATTGGTCCTATGTCAAAAAGAGGAATGAGAAAATTGATAAAGCTTTAAGACCCAAGTAAAAAAATTCCGCAATTCCAAGTTTTCCAGAAGAGATTTTTAAACAATGGAGTCGCCGCAAAGAATCATCGCATGTGGTAGAGGAGGAAAAGAACACTGCCTCTGACTATGTCAAAAAGAGGAATGAAGAAATAGATAAAACCTTAAGAACCAAGTCAGAAAATTCAGTAATTTCAAGTTTTCTAGAAGAGATTTTTAAAGAATGGAGCTGCAAAGAATAATCGCATCTAGGCACAATATGGTTATCAGCGGTGGAAAAAACAACTTTCTCAATCTCTTACTTCAACATCTGACAATCTCATCTGCTGCAATCTTGCCCACATCGATACTCAAATTAGTTATGATTGCATATACCAACAAAACTCTGTCAGCTGACAATGTAGTATCGTGTATGGTGTGGGAAGTACGTTGGTCTTTACGAAGGCACCAAACTTTTGCTTCTGAGTTGAGGTCTGCTGCTATTATAGTCCTTGCTCCTCCTCTCGAGAACTGCCACCGTGTTCCTTCAATGGCTATCATCTCCAGGACTATCTCGAGCTGATCATCCGATGGAGCTAGCACCATTTCGCTGAAGGTGGTATGCTAAAAGGATTGTAGATGAAACAGTTGGTTAGTGGCTTCAAAACTCCAATTAACTATTTTTCCTCTCACAGTTATTGTGTACCTTTCTACTTGATCAATATGTGCATAAAACTCCTTCACTATAGACACTATAGCTTGCTCTCTATGGTGATAGAACATCTCCCACTCCAAGTCGTTGATGGTGTCAATAAAGAATTCAGAAAATGTATGGTAGAATTCGAGGAACCTTCTTTCTGTTGGATCCGTATGTCAACCCTAGAGGAAGTGAATAGGGTTTTAATGATAAAAGTATTTAAACGTAATTAATTTTTCTAATTATGAAACTTCTTACAAATGAGTAGAAGATGATAATTACTAGAACAAAATAATTAGTCAAAACAATAATCAACTAAAACATGCAATAAATCACAGTAATAATTTTGAAATTAAATAAGAAAGAGTTAGAAAAGATGACACCGTAGTTTTATATAGTGGTTCGGTCAAACTCGACCTACTCCATTCCCCAATCGCTTCTTGGGAATTTGAATAAAGAACTTTCTCGACTATTTCCATGGATCAGAGTCAAACCACTACACCGCTCTTTTTACGAGTTTAAGAGCAAACTCAATCCTTTCCACCGCGTAGGATCAAACCAATACAAATATTTGAATTTAATAGTAACACACCACAACTCTCTCAAAGAGTAGATTTACAATTTGGGTCACTCACAACTATTTCCTCCCAATATGCAATAATAATCCCTCTCAAGAATAAGATGAAGAGAAATAAACTTTGAAGCTTAGAGAGAGGAACAAAACAATGGAAGGTTTGAACCATTGAGGATTGAAGAATTCTAGAAGTTGTATATTTAAGATGTGAGGAAATTGATGAGTTTATATATAGAAAAAAAGTGGCAAAAAGTAGGAATTAAAATTGACATTGGATTGGGTAAGAAATAATGGAAGGTGGAGATTAAAAGTAAATAAATAAAAATATTTTTCAAATTCTATTTATTTAATTTTTTTATAAATATTATATTAATATAATATAAAAATAATAAAAACTAATGTGACAAATTCAAAATTTATTATAAATATAATAATATATAATATAGTAATAATAAAAAAAACTGATGTCAATTTAAAATTTATTATAAATATAATAATATAATAATAATAAAAAAACCGATGACAATATCAATCAAATGACCAATTCAAAATTTATTATAAATATAATAATAATATAATAATAAAAATTATGTAATTAACTCTCAAAATTTCAAAATATAATAATATAATATAGTAATAATAAAAATTGATGTGAACCACGGTTAGATATTTATATTATGTAAAAATAATTTTATTTAGAAATATAATAATAAGAAAAAAGTTAACCATTTGTTACCCTTCCAAAAATTATGAGTGCCATATTTTGATATACTTTGATTTGTCCAACATTTTGATTTTGCTGCCACATCGTCAGGTATGTTGTCTCGACTGTAATTTCTTTGTTTTAGCTCTGATTTGAATAATTGAAATCTTTATTTCTAACCTTATATTGTGTGGACGATTCAAAATTGATTAATAATTAAAAGTAGGTTTGTTATCATCAATAATTAATTGATTGAAATTAATTAAAATGAGATCAAGGGCCAAAAAGCCAACACTTTCCACCGACACTACCCTTTGACTTGAGGAGCTCGTACCTCTTGTACACCTCCTTTGTTGCAAAATTTTCTCTTTGTGTAGGGAGGTTGCCCATTTTATTCTTTACCTTTTCTTTCTTTTAAACGGGTGCTAGTTAGAAAGGAGTCTTGATTTATCTCTTCTAATTTGTCTTGCTGTACTTCTTTTAGCCCTCACATCGCTTTTTTGCCTTGGGCTCTCGGTGTCATGATTTTCGTTTGCAGGCTGAAATTGTATCTTTGGTTTGTTTGCTTTGTGAGTTTGAAGGTGAATTGGAAACGTTGTGTGATCGCTTTGGTGGAAGTAGCTGCTATATAATTGGTGCAGCTGTCTTTTCTTGACAGCAGGCTGTTATACTTACGGTAGGCGCCTACTATACAACTTTTTTTTTCCTTTGTGCAGCAAGCTCTTGTCCCGAAAGATATTTTTGGGTAGAATTGCACAATCAAAATAAATTCAAAAAAGAAAAATAAATGATTTTGACTAAGCTAATGATCTAATTTTTTTTTTACTCAATTGGGGCAAATTCAGAAGTTATCTTAAGAGTTTAAATTATGAAAGAAAAATATCAAATACAACGATTTCACATTTAGATGATTTAAGAAAAATGAGAATCAAAGTTTATTTGATCTTTAAATAGACGTTCAAATGGTCTAACGATCATGAAAGCTTGAAGTATATTAAGGATCAAAGCAAATGGAATCGTACGCATGCAAAATTGTTGGAGTGGTACATTATGTACATTATGTCATTATGTCATCAAATTGAATTGTAGGCCGGCAAAATTTCTGTATGTCATCAAGTATAAATAAGGTAAGGATAATGTGGTACATTATGCAGAAGGTACAATCCCTCTACTTTTATTAGTGCAAAAATTCTTGGATTTGAGCATATTACATAATTATATAGAGATGATCAAGATTTTGAAACTATTTATACAGCTTCAAAAACAGTTGTGGAGGATTATTATGTGTTTCTATCTATACATCTTGTCTTGCAAAAATAGTTATGAATGATTATTATGTGTTTCATAATTTCTATTTAAGAAAAGTAAGTTTTGTATTCCTTAATCGTCTATTAAGAGGGTTTACTAGCAAGGGAAGCACATGGGAAGACTTAATTTGACATTTTGAGATTAATAAAACTTATAATATGTTTGCATACACTTCTTTTTGCCGAAAATAAAGCAAGATGTTCATAAGTTTTGTAGCTAATGTTTTAAATTGAAAGAAGCTAAGTCTAGATCACAACCAAATGAGCATATACTCCTTCAAATGTACTAAAGGAATGTTTGACTAATATATTGGTGGATTTTATTCTTGGTTTGCGTGTAGCACCCGAATATTTAAAAAATATATATATGTATATAAAAAAATAATAGGGTTAAAATTAAAAGATGGGCAAATAGGTAAGTTGCCCCTCTAACTATAATAGGGGTCCTTGAAATTGTAGCACCGGCTGAGAAAGCAAGCAAAGAAAGAAAAAACGTTGGGAGAGAAAGTTTGGAAGTGAGAGCGAGAAACCGCCGTTAGAAATCTCATCGGACCACCATGGAAGTCATCTCTAGCCAGAATCTAGGTGCAAGGACCTCTTGGAAGGAAGGAGAAGATGTTAGCATTCGGAGTCCCATTTTTCGTCAAGAAATCGAGAAAACCCGCGAGGTAAGATCTTGAGCGTTTTTCTCAAATCTACTGTTTTCCTTGTGAATCAAGATCTGAAATCTTGATATATTCATCTAGAAACAACTTTCCACATGATCTGTGAAGAAGCTTGGCTGAAACCTCGATCGGAAGGCAGAAACTCGAGAATCGTCCAAGAATGGGGGAGAGAAGAAAATTTCGGCAGCCATGTCTTGACGGGGGACGGCAAAATGCAGCTGGGCAGGCAAGGCACACGTGCCAAGCGTCGACTGGAGCCACGTGTCA